CAGAGCTACTACATATGTACATAGCTACTACATATGTACATAGCTACTACATATGTACATAGCTACTACATATACACATAGCTACTACATATACACATAGCTACTACATATGTACATAGCTACTACATATGTACATAGCTACTACATATGTACATAGCTACTACATATGTACATAGCTACTACATATACACGTAGCTACTACACATGTGGTAGCTACTTTTGCTACTACGGTAATCCGGCACGGTCTGCATTGTGTACCGTCGTGTGACGCAGTTAACGCATACGTTCATGAAAATATCGTCGGAAAGTCCACGTCTATAACGGGTCAGAACATCGCTTTGCTTGCTCTTTGGTTCTATTCGGTAAAGTCACGTAGGTAAAAAATACAACAACAAAAAACCACGACGTTTCGGCCACAACACAAGTGGCCTTCATCAGGTGAAGGGACCGGACTGTCCAGAGGACAGCACCTGATGAAGGCCACTTGTGTTGTGGCCGAAACGTCGTGATTTTTTTGTTGTTTTATTTTTTTGCCTACGTGACTTTACCGAATAAAGTCAAAGAGTATGGATCCTTGCAGTCACGAAAGCTTCAAATCTAGAATCACTTTGCTTTTAGACGCTATCCACACGAAGATGAAGATTCCTCCGTATAGCCTGAACAGACTCAAGGCAAGATCACCACCATGTGCAGTTCTACATGAACTGGTGGTTTGGTTCACGGTTGCCCTGTCTGTTGCTAAAATGTCTCGTTGCCTGGCGGGCACTTGGTGTTGTTCTTGCTGTGATGGTCTTGCTGTCGTGATGGTGTTGGTCTTCCTGTCGCGATGGCGTTGATGTTGTGATGGCGTTGATGTTGTTGTGACGGTGAATCATAATAATAATATTGGAAAGCGTGGGGGAGGTGTTGTCGCCCCCCCTTGTGAATTTAGCGGTCAGCTGAGGTCACAGGGGTTCAGCGCGGCTCTTACCCCGTGGCATTACCCCGGACTCCTTCCACGCATCATCCAAACCAATTAAGCTAGGGGGACCCCCCCCCTCCCCCTTTCGCCTCCCCCCACCTCGCCCCCCCCTCTAATGGCGTGTCGCTTGTATCGACTATAACCAAATCATCGGCGCCCGCCGCTGCTTCTCATCTCGTTCCGTTAAACAAAGGCGGCGAGAATCCCACAAGGACAGCGCCGTGCGGATCACAAGTCTGTTCCGTCGAACAACCGCAGTTGAAGGCTGCACAAAGCGGTGCATCGTTTTATCGACTCCCGGGGTGTGCGATGATGGGCTGAGTCGATCATTCCGCCGGATGCGACGAGAGAGAAACGTTGCGGGCTGATGCTGCTGCTGCTGCGTTGGTGGTGGAGGTGGCGACGCTGCTGCACGTGCCCGACTCTGGATGAGTAACCCTACGCTGTGGACCAAGGCCGTAGCCATGGAGTCAATATTGGGGGGGGAGGGACCAAATCTTCCAGGGGGTCTGGGGGGGTCCCAACCCAGAAAAAAAATCTAAATTTGAAAACGAATTTCCTGCCTAAAATATAAAAAAAAAAATTCACGAACACATAGGATGAACTTTTTATTTATTTTTTACAATAATGTCTAATAGTGTATATTGTATTACATTGCTCTGTATTTTTTTATTTTTTACCTTTTCTTGTTTCATTGAATGTAATGGCAGAGATTAAGGATTCTTAAAGTACAACCATAACCACAATCATATAAATACAAATCTATTTTATAGCAATATATTGCATGGGGGGGGGCATTTTGAGCATATTTGAATATTGGGGGGGGGAGGGGATGTGTCCCCCCCCAATATAAATTATAATTACGGCCCTGCTGTGGAGGCAGCGGCGAAGGAGTTGGTGGATCGCGCACAGATGTCGTGGAAGCTGCGCCTCGTGGAGGACGAGAAGGCAGTGCAGCAAGTCGACTCATCGCCATGCTAAACTCTCCTGTTTGATTTGTACTAGGTGCCTCTGTGAATGTGTATGCTCTGACTTTAACATAGCCATTTCTGTGACCAGCCACAAGATAATCACTCAGCTATTTCAATGCCAAATTCTCCTGTTTGATTTGTACTAGGTGCCTCTGTGAATGTGTATGCTTTGACTTTAACATAGCTATTTCTGCGACCAGTCACAAGCTAATCACTCAGCTATTTCAATGCTAAATTCTCCTGTTTGATTTGTACTAGGTGCCTCTGTGAAGGTTTATGCTCTGACTTTAACATAGCTATTTCTGTGACCAGTCACAAGCTAATCACTCAGCTATTTCAATGCTAAATTCTCCTGTTTCATTTGTACTAGGTGGCTCTGTGAATGTGTATGCTCTGACTTTAACATAGCCATTTCTGTGACCAGTCACAAGCTAATCACTCAGCTATTTCAATGCTAAATTCTATGCTAATTCCTTTGTCAAGGGGTGCCTCTGCGGATGTGTATGCTTTGACTTTAACATAGCCATTTCTGTGACCAGTCACAAGCTAATCACTCAGCTATTTCAATGCTAAATTCTATGCTATTTCATTTGTCAAGGCGCTTTGTTTCTTCTCACACAGCTTAAAGGTCGCGATCTGGGCTTGGCTGTGTTCGCTCCAGCGCTGTCCTCCAGACAGTCTCGTCCCTTCACCTGATGAAGGCCGCTTGTGTTGTGGCCCGAAACGTCGTGAGAATTTTATTGTGTTATTTGATCAATTTATTATTTTATTCTCATTCTACGTGACTTTACCGAAAGACCCAAAGAAGATGAATCCTTGCAGTGACGAAAGCTTTGAATCGAAATTTCATCGCCATCTGTTTCCGTCTGTACGGAGACATGGGTTGTCGCAGCTTCTCGCGCGCGCATGCCGTGGATCTTCTCACGGTGCTCCGATTGAGACGTACAATTGATTCGTTGCACTTGTACCAACAAATGTTCAAGTGATTTCTTTACCTTTGGTATACTTTTGCACTTCCATTGTGTTGTCGTATTGTTTCATTGTTGCAACGTTCTGACCCCCAGTGCCCCGGCTGCACATGTTTGAGAAATAAGAGCTTCATGGCTTATCGGATTCCTCGGGTATAAACAAATATTGTGATTGTGAGCGTCTTGAAATAGAAAAAATAAAAACCGCATGTGGCGTCGGAAGGAGCCTGGATAAATAAGTAAATCAGAATGCTGTAGTTATAATACTCATTGTAATGTATTATTCATTCATAATTTCCATGTATTATATTACACGTAATACCAGCACCCATCTTTACGCAGAATCCTTCCCGTTCACTCACTGCAAGGACAACCCCCACCCGCCCCTCCCCCTTCCCCCACCCCCACACCTCATTAGCATAATCATGAACACACTATGCGTCAACCGCGCTCTGTCATTGGTTGCGACACGCGTGTCGGGGTGGGGGGGTGTGTGCGGGGCGGGGTTGGTGGTGATGGGTGGAGGTGGTTGGTTGGGGGTTGGGGGGTTGGTGGGAGGGGTTGGTGGTGGGTGGGGTGGGCCGATGCGATAATTTATTAATTTATTTACTCACCCCCCCCCCCCCTCTGCTGCGTAGTGGGGGGGGGGGTGAAAACAAAGTGTGGTGACGTCACGTGGGGCGTGTACCGCTGATGGAGGTGAAGGTAGTGGAGGTGGTAGTAGAGGTAGTGGAGGTGGTAGTGGTGGTGGTAGTGGTAGTGGAGGTGGAGGTGGTGGTAGTGGAGGTGGTAGTGGAGGAGGTAGTGGAGGTGGTAGTGGAGGTGGTAGTGGAGGTGGTAGTGGAGGTGGAGGTGGTGGTGGTGGTAGTGGAGGTGGTAGTGGAGGTGGTAGTGGAGGAGGTAGTGGAGGTGGTAGTGGAGGTGGTAGTGGAGGAGGTAGTGGAGGTGGTAGTGGAGGTGGTAGTGGAGGTAGTGGAGGTGGTAGTGGAGGTGGTAGTGGAGGTGGTAGTGGAGGTGGTAGTGGTAGTGGAGGTGGTGGTGGTAGTGGTAGTGGAGGTGGTAGTGGTAGTGGAGGTGGAGGTGGTGGTGGAGGTGGTGGTGGAGGTGGTAGTGGAGGTGGTAGTGGTAGTGGTAGTGGAGGTGGTAGTGGAGGTGGTAGTGGAGGCAGTGGAGGTGGTAGTGGTGGTGGAGGTGGTAGTGGAGGAGGTAGTGGAGGTGGTAGTAGAGGTAGTGGAGGTGGTAGTGGAGGTAGTGGTGGTGGAGGTGGTAGTGGTGGTGGAGGTGGTAGTGGAGGAGGAGCGAGCGTTGGTGGGGGTCGGATCGGCACGTGCAGCGCTGGTCCCGCGCCCTGGAGTGGCCGAGTGTCGCGAGAAGTGAACTCTCGAGAACTATCTCCCTCTCTCCACCGTGGAACTCGCTCGCTCTCCCTACCCGCCTTTCTCTCTCTCTCTGTCGCTGGGTTTTTCGCGGCGTCAAAATAAGAATTCGGCAGAGACGAGAACACGACCACAACAGCAGCAGCAGTAGCACTCTGTGCCAGGCTAGGTGCACCTCAAGGCCACGAGAACGAACGCGCGCGCGCGCACGCACGCACGCACCTCGCTGTCAGGCGCCGGGGACTCGACAACATCGCTACGCATCGCGAGACGGAGGGGATCGGAGAGCCTCGCGCGTTCCACACCACCGCGCGCGCAACCACCAAGCCCGACAGCTCCCCGCCCTCTCGCCCTCTCGCTCGCTGGGAGGGGGGGGGTTCGTGGCGTCAATAAGAACACGGAAGGGGTTCGGAAGGGAGGGGGTTCCGAGGGGAGGGGGGAGGAGGAGTAGGAGGAGGAGGAGTAGAGGGAACACACCTTGCTTGCTCCTGGCGCATCGCCAGATCGCAATGAACGTTGCCCGACATCGCGACACACGCCGGGCAATCTGAAGCGGAGGCTTCGCGCGCCGCCGCCGCTGCCGCCGCCGCCGCTTGCGCTGCCGCTCATCGTGCTGAGCCCGAGCAGCAAGTACGTGGAGCCACATCGACCACCACCCCCCCATCCCCACCCCACCGGCTCGTGGTGGGGCTGCGGAGAGTGTTGGGCGGGCGGGCGGGCGGGCGGGCGGGGAAGGAGTGTCCTGGGCTAACTCCACCTGGACGCGTCTCGCGCCACGGCGCGGCAGGGAGGAGCTGCGTCCGCACCCCGGGAAGAAGAAGAAGACGATGATGATGGTGAAGAAGAAGGTGATGAAGAAGGTGATGATGATGCTGTCGGGACGCCACGGAAGCGGCGGTGGCGACCTCCTCCTCCTAGTGCTGCTCGGCGCTCTCTGGGCCGGGTGCCGCGGCCAGGAAGGTGAGCGAGTGGGTGGTGGTGAGCGAGTGGGTGGTGGTGGTGAGCGCGTCCGTGGTGGTGGTGAGCGCGTCCGTGGTGGTGGTGAGCGCGTCCGTGGTGGTGGTGAGCGCGTCCGTGGTGGTGGTGAGCGCGTCCGTGGTGGTGAGCGAATGGGTGGTGGTGGTGAGCGAGTGGGTGGTGAGCGAGTGGGTTTGCGGGGGCCAGGGAGGGGGGGTGTTGGTGAGCGAAGGGTTTTGAATGAGCGGGTGAGTTGTTGGGTGAAGGGGTGGGTGGGTGCTATGGAACGAGTGGGTGAATGGAAACGGGTGAGCGAGTGGGATTAGCGAGTGAATGACGGGGAGAGTGAGTGGATGGGCTATGGAATGGGTGAAGGAGCCGAGTGAGTGAGCCTACGATGGAGTGAGTGGTGAGCGCATGTGCGATATCTTGAGGGAGCGAGTTAATGAATGAACGGGCGAGTGGGTTAATGAACGGGTGGATGAGTGAGTGAACGAGTGAGTTATTGGATGAGTGAGCGATTGAGCCAGCTCGCGAGCGGTTTAAGTGAGTTAGCGCTTGGGTGAGAGTGAGTGGATGTGTGAGAGTGGATGAGAGATTGAATGGATGAGTGAGAGTGGATGAGTGAGAGAGTGGATGAGCGTATGAGTGAAAGAGGGGATGAGTGAGGGAATGAGAGAGTGAGTGGATGAGTGAGAGAGAGAGAGAGAGTGAGTGGACGAGTGAGGGAATGAGAGAGTGAGTGGATGAGTGAGAGAGAATGAGTGGATGAGTGAGAGAGAGTGAGTGAATGAGTGAGAGAGTGAGAGTGAGTGGATCAGTGAGAGTGAGTGGATGAGTGACAGAGAGAGTGAGTGGACGAGTGAGGGAATGAGAGAGTGAGTGGATGAGTGAGAGAGAAGGAATGGATGAGTGAGAGAGCGTGAGTGGATGAGTGACAGAGAGTAAGTGGATGGGTGACAGAGTAAGTGGATGGGTGAGAGAGAGTGAGTGGACGAGTGAGGGAATGAGAGAGTGAGTGGATGAGTGAGAGAGAATGAGTGGGTGAGTGAGAGAGAATGAGTGGATGAGTGACAGAGAGTAAGTGGATGAGTGACAGAGAGTAAGTGGATGGGTGAGAGAGAGAATGAGTGGAAGAGTGAGGGAATGAGAGTGCGAGTGGATGAGTGAGAGAGAGAGCGTGAGTTGGTAAGGGAGTGAGTGAGTGAGCAGGTGAGGGAGTGGGTGAGTGAGTGGGTGAGGGAGTGAGTGAGGGAGTGAGTGAGTGAGCAGGTGAGGGAGTGAGTGAGCAGGTGAGGGAGTGAGTGAGTGGGTGAGGGAGTGAATGGGTGAGTAAGCAGGTGAGGTGAGTGAGTGAGCAGGTGAGGTGAGTGAGTGAGCAGGTGAGTGAGTGGGTGAGGGAGTGAGGGAGTGAGTGGGTGAGGGAGTGAGTGAGGGAGTGAGTGAGTGAGCAGGTGAGGAAGTGAGTGAGCAGGTGAGGGAGTGAGTGAGTTAGTGAGCAGGTGAGTGAGTGGGTGAGGGAGTGAGTGAGGGAGTGGGTGAGGGAGTGGGTGAGGGAGTGAGAGGGAGGGGATGAGCGAGGGGTTCCCCTTGCGCGCGCGCGCCACCGGCTCCTCGCACATGGTGGTGCGCGCTTCCGCGCCCGTTCGATCCCCCGTGGCGGATCAAAGAGAAGGGGGGGGGAGGGGGCCGGAGCCTCGGGGCTCTGGGACCCCCGGAAACGACGGTGGCCTCTGGGGTTCAGCGGGAGTTGGTGGGGGGGAGGGGGTTCTGTGGGGGGGGGGGGGGTTCTGTGGGGGGGGGGGTTCTGTGGGGAGGCGGGTTCTGGGGGGGGGGGTGTTTGGGGGGGTGTCTGGGTTCGCGGCGAGCGCTGCGAGGGAGAAGTTCGCGCTGAGCCCCTGAGTGGGGGCTAGGGGAGCTCCACTCGCAGTCGTGTGTGGTGTGAGTGTGGTACGTGTGTGGTGTGTGTGTGGTGCGTGTGTGGTACGTGTGTGGTACGTGTGTGGTGAGTGTGTGGTGTGGTGTGTGTGTGGTGCGTGTGTGGTACGTGTGTGGTGCGTGTGTGGTACGTGTGTGGTACGTGTGTGGTGCGTGTGTGGTGTGGTGTGCGTGTGGTACGTGTGTGGTGTGCGTGTGGTACGTGTGTGGTGTGGTGTGTGTGCGGTGTGGTGTGTGTGTGTGGTGTGTGTGTGGTGTGCGAGTGCGGTGAGTGTGGTATGTGTGTTGTGAGTGGTAAGTGTGTGGTGTGTGGTGTGCGTGTGGTGCTTGATACGTGTGGTACGTGTGTGGTGTGCGTGTGGTACGTGTGGTGTGGTGTGTGTGTGTGGTGTGCGAGTGTGGTGAGTGTGGTACGTGTGTTGTGAATGGTAAGTGTGTGGTCTGCGTGTGGTGCTTGATACGTGTGGTACGTGTGGTGTGGTGTGTGTGTGGTATGGTGTGTGTGTGTGGTATGCGAGTGTGGTGAGTGTGGTACGTGTGTTGTGAATGGTAAGTGTGTGGTGTGTGGTGTGCGTGTGGTGCTTGATACGTGTGGTACGAGTGTGGTGTGTGTGTGGTGTGTGTGTGGTGAGTGTGGTGAGTGTGTGCCGCGCCGACTTGAATAAGTGCTCGCGAACAGCCCTTGCCGCAAAACATCGGCTAAAGCTATACGGGGGATCTTTGTCTTTGCTGAGGTGTGTGTGGTGTGTGCTTAGTTGCATGTATGTGTAGCGTGTGTGGCTTGTGCAGCGGTGCTACGAACCCGGCGATTCCCGCTCACGGCCAACACCCAGTGACGATTATCTGAACCGGTCCTGGGCCTCCCCTAGGTCGACTCAGCCTCAAATGAGTACCTGGTTCGGTGTGTAAACGTCGCCACTGGGGAGACAAAGGCGGCCGGGCGTGGTGTTGGCCACCCACCCCTTCATGTGCCGTGGCGGCCTTCCTAGGTGCTCGCTAACAGCACTTGCCCCAACAGTCTTGTGAAGGCTATACGGGGAATCTTTGTCTTTGTGTGTGCCGTACCGACCTTCCTCGGTGCTCGTGAACGACACTTGCCACGACATTTTCTGTTAAGGCGAAACGGGGGGGGATATTTTTTGTGTTTGTTTATGGGTGTGTGTGTTGTTGTGGTGGTGGTGGTGGTTATGTATGTGGGGTGTATTAGGTGTACGTCTGTTGATGCGTACAAAAATGCACACACGTGCGTGTGGGTTTGTATGAACGGGTAAGGCATGAGTAAATGTAAGTTTAGGTGTGTGTGTGTGTGCATGGGTATGTGTGGAGCGGTGGTGCAACGGTTAGCGCGCCGCGTGACCCCGAGATCGATTCCCGCTCACAGTGCGTGCACATCGCCACTGGGGAGACAAAGGCGGCCGGGCGTGGTGCTGCCCACCCAAACCACCTCGTGTGCCGTTCCGGCCTTCATAGGTGCTCGCTAACAGCACTTGTCCCGAAAGTATGTCAAGGCTATCCGGGGGGGGGGGGGGTGATCTTTGGCTTTGTGCTTTTTTCTACCCCCCACGCAGTAAATTTTTGAGACTTGCACAAATGTCAGTATTGAATTTACTGTCAAAACGTCTCCAGCTGGAATGGCGACTACTGCTGATACTGCGAGTACTGACGATGGGTTGGGGGGGGTCGATTCGTCTGCCGCGGTGGAAATTCCACATTCTCATGGCGACGGCCCGTCGTTCCATATCGCCGGTGGTGGTGGTGATGGTTGTTGTTGTTGTTGTTGCTGCTGCTGCTGTCGGTGGTGGTTGATGGTGGATGTTGTTGGGGGGGAGCGGTGGCGCAGTGATTAGCGCACTGTGCCACGACCTGCGACGCCCCTCCCCCCCCCCCCCCCCCCGAGTCCCGAAACCCAATTCCCGCTCACGACCGAATATATGAACGGCCCCTGGGACTCCCCTAGGTCGACTCGGCCCTAAATGAGCATGTTGTGCGGTGTGTACGCAACGGCACTAGGGAGACAAAGGCGGCCCCGGGCGTGCTGCTGGCCACCCGCCCTTTCGTGTGCCGTTGCCGGCCTTCATAGGACGCTCGCTAACAGCACTTGCCTCAACAGTCTGCTAAAGGCTACACGGGGGTTCTTTGTCTTTGTATGTACGTGTGTGTGCGCGCACGCCTTGTCTCTGAAGCCCATGGCGAAATCATCCGCAATGCGCCCAATCCGGGTGGCTCAGCAGGGGTCTCAGCCTGGCGAGCGCCTGCATGGGCGTCCGCCATCGGGTGCTTAACAGGCGCAATAGGCGGCCGTGAAGCATGGTGAAGTATGGTGAAGTATGGTGAAGTATGGTGAAGTATGGTCATGCAACCCCACGACCCTCAAATGCACGTCCCAGCAGAGGCTGCATAGTGTGCACTCCGCCCACGTGACCTGCACGCGTGCTCTACCCTTGCGTACGCGTGCACACCAGTGACCACGTGCACACCTGCGTACACGTGCGACCACGTGCACACCTACGCACACGTGTACCGATGGTGTACACGGGCTGTAACATACATGTTGTCCATTCCTTATACCTACGCGCTTCGAGTACACGTTGATCTTCTTGATTTTTTTCTAATTCAATCTTGGTTCTTGGTTTCAATCGAGATTGAAAATTCCTCTCTTCAGAGCTGCGTTTTGTCGCGTTTAGTGTTGCCGTCCGATGATCACGGTTGGCTACGTACGGTGCGAAAGAAGGCCAACGTGCAGTACACACAGCATTACGTACAACATTCGTGCAAAGCATGTTTCGCCTGTAACACACAAACGAAAACCCTGCGGACGGAGAATCTCGTTCGCAAGTCACCGTCCGGGGGGTGATGTCCGTTGACACCACGGGGTGAGCTTCGACCACACGTTGGGGTGCAAACTGCATTGGGCGTGGGGCCTGGTCGGAGTGGCGGCTTCAGGATTTTCAGAATTTGAAAGACAAAAAATGTCGGAGTTTTAATTTATTTTCGGGGATATGCGGTTTTGTTGTTGTTGTTGTTGCTGCGTTTATTCATAGGCTGCAGCCATGGAGTCAACATTG